CCCTCTTTGATTTGGTGTCGTATTGTCTTCATTGGGGTCCATCAAAATATTTCTGTATTTGAGAACCAAAACGAGTTTTGTTGAATTAGTTAGAACTTGCAACACAAGCTGACAAGTGCTTATGAGCAGCTTTTTTGTTCAAGATGAAATTTGAATAAGTTTTGGGTTGTGCTACATAGCCCACAAGCTTGACCGCGGGGTTGACACCCCACACACACATGGGGAGGTCGGTATTATTTTATTCAATGGGACCCACCTCGGCATGTGAGAGGGTGGTCAGCCGTGGTGTCAACCCCGTGGGTCATTTAGCATTTTTCACAAGTTTTCCCCCTCTAATAGCTTTACGTTTTGAACGCTGTAGTTTAACATAGTATGAGAGCACGCAGGGTTCCATGTTTGAATCTTGCTGCTATCGATTTTGGAAAATTGGGCACATGCGCTCTGTGTAAGAAAAGGAGAGAGATTTTATAAGCATCTCTATCTTTCATAAAATGAAAATCCAAAAGGAGCGTTCATTTTGGAAAATTCTCTTTTCAGGGCTTAAGGGTTAAAAGATTTGTGTTTAACTATCCTTTACGCATTTAAAAATTATCTTTATTTTGGCCGGAAACTAAACTATAGCTAGATCAGTTCCAGGTTTATTCTATATGTAGATGATCATACACATGTAGCATACTGCTCAAAACACAACAAAAATGAATGAATGAGTTTTACAATAGTGTCTTAAAAGTTATCTAGAAAAATGAAGAGGAGGAACGAAAAAAGGAGTCAAGAAAGATAGTGTCTTAAAAAAAAAAAAAAAAAAAAAAAAAAAAAAAGAGAAAAAAAAAAAAAAAAAAAAAAAAAAAAAGAGAGGAGAAGAGAAGCCAAGAAAGATATTTGTTCATTTTTTGTTTTGATTGGAGTATTAGTTTATGTTCTCTCTTTGGATGGTTATGTGTTTTTGTCAAAGTTGAAACAAGTGAATGAAAAGGACTGCAATGTGTTTGCTTAAGCTAAACAAGTTTTATACAGAGACTGAAGATGTAATAATATTCTACAATTCTTTGAATCTAGATATGCTTTTCAAATTGAGCAGTTTTCAAAAAGTATGTAAATTGTTTTTTAATTTTATTTGGTAAAAAATCTTATCAAGTACATCAATTGCTTAATTTACATGACAGTTTCCGTAGTTTACAGCCGTGAATTGCTTTGAAAGAATGAATAAGTTTTAGAACGGTGCTTATGGGTTATCCGGAAAAAAGGATCAGAAAAAAGAAGCCAAAAATGATATTCTATCATATTCCATATTGATTGAAGTATTAGCTTTCATCTGTCTTGGGATGGTTTAATTTGAAAACAGGCGATGAAGTTCCAGGAATGAAAGAGACTGTTTATGCTAAGTTATCTTTGTACATAAACTTTGTGAAGATATTACTACATTTTACAATTCTTTCATTCTAGATCTTCTTTAAAAGAGAACAATAAATCTTTAGGCAATTATGCCGATTTCTTAATATGCACTTCCACACTTGGCACAAGTTCCTTCACTCTATGATTAAAATCTTTGATTTTATTTAATGGTTTCTTATAGTAGTGATCAATTACAAGTTGTAATAAAAAATTAAAAAAACAATCTTTGAAGACAGTTGATAATAAAGATATTAAAAGATATTACTACATTTTCATTTGACAAAAACAGGCGATGAAGTTCCAGGAATGAAAGAGATTGTTGATAATAAATCTTTAGCCAATTATGCTGATTTCTTAATCTGCACTTCCACACTTGGCACAAGTTCCTTCACTCTATGATTAAAATCTTTGATTTTATCTAATGGTTTCTTATAGTAGTGATCAATTACAAGTTGTAATAAAAAATAAAAAAACAATCTTTGAAGACAGTTGCATTATTTTGATAGCGATGGATATTTTGTTCTTCAGGCACCCTCAACTACTCATGTGGACAAGCCCCTGCCCCTGCTCCGGAAACTGGGAAAAGAGCTAATCTTTCAATTTTCGACCGTAATGAAGAATAGATGTTTATCATCGATTTTAGTACAGTCATTATAATCGCTATGTTAATTACTTATTTGTTTCGATTCCTGTTTTAGCCTGTCATTGGACGGATTGTGGTGGAGGCCGCTGCAACAAGACGTCCCTCTTCATGCACAGGTGTGAATGTAAAGAGGGTTACTACAATCTTCTCAACGTCACTGCTTTCCCGTGCTTCAAGGAATGTATGTATATACTTGTACATGTTTGGCACGAACTATAAACTAGACTACATAGTACAATGGGCAAGATATTAATTTCAATTTCTTTGATAATAGCGTTCAATGCTTTCTAATTCACATTATCAATCATGTCATTAATGAACTCATCTCGAGATTTGATGTTAGTGGACTATCGAGTGAATAAATTGAAGAAACACTAAATGATAAATCTTAAATATGATGCTGGAATTTCATGTTGTCATGTGATGTTAGGTGCAATTGGAATGGACTGTTCAAAGCTGGGGTTTGGTGTAATGAACAGTTCAACTTCTCCTTCAAGCCCCAATCTGGCTGATAATAGCAGTAATCAAGGTGAGCTTATGCTCAATTTATCTATTCTTTACTCTGTGCGCATGCACGTGCACGTGCCTGCAGTTTGCAAATTTTCTGGTTAAGGTTGCATTTTTTACTCGATGATACTTTGTGCGTATGTTGTGCTGGTTCATGAATTGACGTTATTTCTTGGTAAAAGCAGCAAGCTTCGTCCCCAGAAATGAATTTGCTTGGTCGATTATCACGGCAACAACATTGGCTCTGGTTATGGTGAAGTAGATGTTGTTGATATTATGTGCCATTTTTATGTCTACATTTGAATGATTCATTCAGAACTTGCAGCGGGAAGTCGTATATAGAATAATATCCCGTAGTAGAATTCAGTGGAGTATTTATATTATGCTGTTATTCGGTTGCTTGTTTTATTGTATATGGAACTTTTGACAGTATAATTTATAGAGAATTTTTTTATTTTTACTTATTTATTATTATTATTTTATTTATTTATTTATTTTAACACTTTTAGTGAATTAGCTTCAAAAGTTTTGATTTGACGTTTGCTCCTTGGACTTTGTTCGGATATGTAGTTCTCTCGTTCATAATATACATCAAAATGTAATCCTAGTTTACAATTTCTTCAGTTTTCTTAATAAAATCGAGTCTCACTAGCCTATTGATGGGAATTTAGTTATGCATGCAAAGCAGAATTTAAAATGTTTTTCAATTCTCTTCAAGTATCGTCTTTGTGAGAGAATCTTGATCACGAACAATTATGATCTTTCCTCTCCTTTGTGAATCTTGATCTACCATGATCGTTTCACACCACAGTTGTCCAATTGTCTAGCTTTTGATGGTAATTCACACGAGAGAACAAGAATGAGATATTAGAATTTCTTTTTCTTGTGCTAGGAAGATTATGAATATCGTAGTTGTGTTGTGAAAAATTCAAACCCTAATTCTTTGGTACTAAACATAAATTGGCCAATTAGTTAATTAATATAATTAATTAAACTTAGTCAATAAGTTAATTAATTAACTAAGTTCATTAATAAATGACCCAATTAATTAATTAATAAGTTTGAGACAGTTGGATAATTAATTTTTAGTATCAATCTTCTAGTTCTCTTTATTGTATGACTAATTAGGTTCTCGATCATGATGTCAGACGATATAAATTATTATTTTAATCCAATCAAAATAAGATAAATTAAGACTTCTTTTAATTTATCATTAATTCACATTGGCTGTCCTTTATTGATATCTAGCAAAATGTCAGTGCAGTACATTTGACGAAAAATGTCACGTTGTGCAGCAAAATCAAATTTATTTGTTTACTATGAAACTTTAATCCCTTCGTCAATATGACTAAATCGTCTATAAAATAAGGAGACGTGTCAATCTTGATTAATCAATCATATATTTCGTCCTAGTCGTAAGTCAATAATTGTTGAAACTCATTTCAACTTATGAACTCAACTTAGTCAAGAATTTCTATACCAACTTAAGAGAATGAAACATAGATCATAATTTCTTATTACCTAAGAGCGATAAATCATTTATTGATCATTTACAACTTTTATATAATTTTTGACATACTCAAACGATGCTGTATTAACGACTTGTGGTGGAGCAACATCTAACATTACCAAAATATGACTTTCCTCATATAATGTACAATGAAGAGCTCAAGTCCAATGGCTACTTTTACTATCGAACATTAGAGATTAATCACCGATACTCAAATAATTATTTATGTGCAATCTCTGTATCGGGTTTTCAATGTTTTGTTCTCTTAACAAAATATCTACACGTTCATTTATATGTCTTTATATTTTTACTTATAAGATAAGCTTCTCACTTCGTAAGTGAGAAATGCCACAGGTGTTGATCTATTCGTAATAATAATATAATTATCTCGTTATTACTTATGACTATGAATGATTTAAGATTCAATCATATGAACTTGTATATATATTACAATCACAACTATTTGTGATTAATAAGTTGTCAAATTTTGAATTTACAGAATTTATTAATTAATTATTTGAATAATAATTCTATTAAATAATAGATCTATTATAAATAATATGCATCAATCATAATAAAAAGGATTTACATTCAAAATCGATTTGACCTAAAGCTTAATAGGTACAACTTTTAACTTTAAGTAGATCAAATCACCAATGCATCTAATACCATAAGAGTATTCATGGCTATCATGTTTATGTTACAACAACTCATTGTCTGTGGATCTTCACTCGTTGGAACTCGTTCTATCTTTACGTTATTTCTTTGTATAATCTTTTTGATGAGATAATATCATCTTAACATATATTTGGGTCGTTGATAAGACCTTAGTTCCTTTGCTCACGCGATTGCTTCATTTTAATCACAATACAGAGATATATATAATTAACAATGCTAGGAACAACTCAAAATCTATTAATGAATTTCTTGATCCAGACCATAACATTTGTTGCTTCTGAAGCAGCAATGTATTAGGCTTGTTGAATCAGTGATTGTTTTCTATTTGGAACATTTCTAACTAATCGCTCCAATATTAAGAGTAAACATATATCTTGATTGAAACTTGCTATCATCCTAGTCTGACTGAAAGCTAGTATTAGTATATTCATGAACTTTCAGTTCATTTCTTCCATATTTAAATATTTTTAAGATTTTATCTATGTGTATAGGTTGGGATAATCCAAGCAATTATCTCTTTACAGATCCTAATTGTTGACCCTATTCCTAGGCATTGCGACCATGAAAGAATGAGTTAATAACTAAGACATACCTAGTTACAAAAATCAATGTGAGTTGTAAAGGGTGGGCAAAACAATGGACATAGTATGCATATAGATAATATCTAAAAAAATAATACATAAGTCCATTTGAAACACCATGCATATTATTAGTACTTTCATACTTTGGGCTCTTATGTTTTGCACTTGAAAGTTGAAATGAACAAAAACATCAGAAATTTAGTTCTTAAGACTCAACAAGGTAGTGTTACTAATACTTTCGTTTGGAAAACAACATCCTGTTAAAATTTCATTACTGCTCACAAACCTTAAGATAACAGCCATTTGTTCTCGTGAAGATTCATCTCATACTTCATCAACAAGAATACTAAACTTTACATCCCCAACTTCATCACAAATTCTCTGTCGTACTCTATTAACCATAATGTTCAAAATCTCTTATATATATAGCATTTTTTTAGAGCATTATTCAACACAATTTTTCCAACTTTTGTATTCATTTTTCCAAATGCATCCACCATTTCGAAAAAATTTCCACAATTCAATGAAGATGGAGATTTTTCACGGCCTCTAAAGGAACAACATCAAAGTGTAGCAATTGAACACTTACAATAGTGGCTTTTAAATGCAAACAATTTTTCTATTTTTTTCTTACTTGATACAGAATGCATTACCTTATCAATATATTGAGTTAGTTTTATTGTATCTTCTGTTCTTCTTTTAGAGCCATTATGATACGATGAAGATGTTGTACCAATATGAATAAGAAATGCACATTTCCTTTCCTACTTTATCCTCTTCCGACTATCAAATTCAACTCTAACTAATGATGAAATATTAGATGAAGTACCATCATTGAGAAAAATGAAGCAATACTAAAAATAATATGCTTAATGTGTTGAAGGCGAATACTCCATCCAAGGAAAGTGATTGTACCAATGCTCCTAAAATCGACATTTTTGTTTTCCACATTCTTTGCTCCGAGTATTGTATGGTTGGGTCACACCTTGTATTACTTACTACTACCCTATTCGTTCTAGTCATTGACCCTATTCCTATGCTTGTCACAATCTCGGCCAAGGATAAGAATAAAGGAAAAGAGGTAGTAGCAGAGCCTCATTAGAGGTAGTCATTTGTTCGCAAAAATCAGAGGAAACAACATGCTGCGAGCAATTTTGGTGTACAGATTCAGTCTACTCCTCAGCGAGTCTGTAGTTATTGTTAATTTCCCATTTATAGCTACTTCACATACTCAGGTCTAGTCAGTAGCTCCATAATGACTTCTACAGTTAATATATCTTCGATAGTTATTAGCGTAGTTCTATTTTGCCTCCTGCTCATTCTTCAGTTGCTTCTGCTTTAATTATCCCTAAGGTTAATTCAATTACTCCCTTAGTTGCTCTTCCAGTGATTCAGTCAGCCGCTCTTACCGGTATAGCTCCTTCGATAGTTTTTACTTTAGTTACTACTATTTTGACTCTACCCCAGATTGCTAGACGAGTCTATGGTTTATATTTTGATCTAGTTGGTCAGAAGAAACTCCATCAAGCTTCTGACACCCTATTCCCGATTAGGATCATTAAGAGTCAGTTACGAGGATACATCCTTACACTCTCGATCCTTATGAGTGTCATCATATGGAATGTGAGAGATATAGCTAGTGTAGCTATTCTTAGGAGCCTAAAGAGACTTATTCAGCTTCATTAAGTATATCTTTTAGTTATATTAAAGCCCTTTGTTCTTGAGTAGAGGTTTGTACTTATTCAATGCTATCAGTGATTCGACATTGGAGTCTAGAATGAGTCGAATAAGATATGGATGTTTTGGAATGCGGGGACTACTATCACTGTTCTTGATAATCACCCCATTTCCTCTTGTCTATGCCTCCTACAAGGTTGCTATTAGGAGGGATTTTTAGATGGGTCTTCATCACATTTTCTTCACTATAGATGATCCTTAGTTGGTTAGAGAAGACTTTTAACATTGTTAAACACAAAGCACACTGATCATAGTACTTGTGATCGAGGTAGTATTACTTTTTCTTATATGATGTTGGATTGTGGGTTAGAGAAATTTGGTCTTTCGGGGAGTCAGTATTCTTGGATCAATGGTCGGACCAATAGCCAGGTTATAAAGAGATTTGATAGAGTTTTAATTCTCTACAGTTGCAGCTTTTGCAGACAGATTAAAGTGAGACATCTGATGATGATTGTAGATAGCTTTTAATTCTACATATGATCATTCGTCTTTGCTTCTACAGTGGATTTCTGATGATGACTTGGGCCCAGGCCCTTTCGATTTCTCAATACTTGGACTAACCACCATGATTTTTCAGCCTTCGTCTCTGAAAAGTGGTCACTCCTTACCCACCTTACGTGGATGATTGCTCTGTGGGAGAAGTTCTTCATGTTGAAATAGGGACTGTGTTGGTGAAATCGATGTGTATTAAGGGATGTCAACGAGCCAAGCCGGCTCGCGAGTCGAAATTCGAGCTCGGGCTCGGCTCGATTAAAATGATAGAGCTTTTTTTGAGCCTAAACTCGACTAAAAAAGTAGACTCGACTCGAGCTTTCACCTTGGGCCTTTTCGAGCCGAGCCGAGCAGACTCGATTTTGGTATTTTTTTAATATAAAGAGGCAGCAGAAAATTAAGGCAGCACCTACTGCCTTGTTTAAGGCAACAACATGCTACCTATTTTAGGCAACAACACAC